GTCCAAAAATGTTTTTGGAATTTCAATTACAATATACGTTGCGGGCACGCCCCCATTCGCCCAACGGTCAATGCTGACCGCGAATTATGTGCCCGGCCAAAAACAATTGCCGCTTCGCACTTCCAATGGCGCCAACAATTTCCCATCGAACACATAATTGTAATATTTCCAAACTAAAATGTCCCCCAAAATGATCAAAAAATTCCCCGTGCTACATTTTACGCTAGCTAAATAAATGCATACACACACATTCAAACACACACTCAAATACATATACACATATACCTTGTAATTTTGTGGCTCATAAACTTTTTGCCGCAAGCCCTGGCAACACAGTAACAGTACCCGCATTCCCTTGACTACACACATATTGGGCAACGGTAAACGTTTACATACATACCTGACGCGTGTTTAGTTTTGTGTTCCCAGCATTTCGTTGTCTCTTTTGCTCTATCCGCTTTGCTGTTGTTCTTACAATTTTGCTCAACCAAATTCACATGTGAATAAATATGTATATGTATATGTATAAATACAAGCGTACATACATACGCATATGTTTGAGTGGCACTTAAACATTGAAAACTAAGTTTATTCGACCTATACATTTGCTAAACGAAGCTCCATAATATATCACTAATCTAATTAAGTTTGAAGCAATCACACGACGCGACTATTAATTGCGGCAACTCAAACCACACAGCAAAAAGTCACTAAACGAACTCAGTAATAAATTATGCATATAAACATACTGTAATTATGTCGATCGAACAACTTCCTAGACATAGCGAATGAAGTTAACAAATATCATTCGTAATTTTAAAAAGGATTTCCAGCAGCACAGCTCTTTGCTCGATCGAACATGTGCGATGCCACTTTGCTCGAGCACCATTTTTTGCACAGTAGTACTCACACACACACACTCAACAGAGTGTACCATTAGAAGTTGCAAAAATTGGCTGATCACATTTTATTAATTAAAAAAAAAAAAAGAGCCTGACTACGATCCGACACTAGACTCGCACTAAACTCGCACTAAAGCTCATTATTTTATGACATTTTAAACACAACAACTTTGGCGACTCGACTCTTGACATCCGCGATCGAAACTAACAGTTCGATAACTATCGACAGTGCTCAACGAGTTAACAGTGGAGCTAAATGTTAGTTTACAGCAAACTCCGTAGCTAATTAATTAAATGATTTTAATTGATTTTAATTTTATGTGGCTACAAAGAAAATTTGGCTTAACCAATTTTGTGGCCACTTTTTTTATAAATTCTAATTATGGTAATTCACAAAAGGGATTTTATTAAGCCAATATATTGTGTTAAAATGTGTGTGTATTATAATACAACTTTAATGCAGTTCTATTTTTGGGCCATTGCCAAAGGGCTAAGCAACAAAAATAATGCGCCCAGCCCCAGTTGCGCTTCATTTTCTTTGCCTGGAATATGAGAACCTAATGAAATACTCATAACCTGTGGCTTTTCGCCATGCGGTCACACGCACAGACATATGGACAGACATCCAGACAGACAGACAGACAGTTGGACAAGTGCAAAGAAAAAACATATTTTTATAGGTTGGCGAAAGACAACTCAACACGCAACCCCCATACCAAACTGCCGGCGCCTTGAGGATCTGCCAAAAGAAAAGTAGAGACAAGTTTTTTCCGCATGCTTTCCGCCTTGTGTTTCACATTTCGATTGTGATGGGTGGGCGTGGCAGCGGCCGAAAGTTCAAGCGAAATTGAAACCAAAGAACCCGCAAAGCTACCCATTTGGCCTTGCCAGCCACAGGCTCCCCCCCACAAACTCCCCCCGGCCTCATCCCCTCTGCTCCTACCCCTATCAGAAGGCAACACACGGAATCACTTACAATTTGACAGACTACGCAAAGAAAAGGAAACGAGAGAAAATAAAAATAACGCGCGTTGACAACTAAATTCGATATCGATTTGATTTAGTTAAACACCAAAAATGTCCCACAACAGCAGCCGGCAGGTCTCGAATGCCCCTGTCTTTCCGTCTCTCTGTCTCTCTCTCTCTCTCTCACTCCCTCTCCCAGTTTCGCCCCCTGTCTCTAACTGTCACTCCCCGGCGGCTACGAAATTTCGCATGATTCTCGCCTTCGACTGCGAAAACAAACAAACAGCCAAAAACAGTCCAARCAAATAGACCGTTAGATAAGCGACAGCTCGCCAAATAATAATAAAAAGAAGACAAAAATAACTTCTGAAGTAAAGGCCTATCCTAAGCAGTTTACAGATGAAATACCCTAGCAACTCCAGCTTAAAGAATCAGACATCATTTGAGGGAAGTTTGGCCTAAATGAGATTATTAAAATTGATGTATTGATTATATCAAACTATAAATACTTCACAATCTACATATAATATCGAGAAGCAAAATGCTAATATCTGAAACTTGCAAGCGCTATTCGTGCATTGTGGGTCAGTACCTGGTGGCAGGTGCAGTAGGCGTAGCATATGATTATACTGAACTTATCTACTGCTGCTACTTCTTCAACGTGTTTGCTTGACACGGCTTTAGTGCTCGACACATTTCTCCTCGCCGGCTCAATATGTAAATTTTTCTTGCGGCTGGACGATTCCCACCTGCCTCCTGCCGACCGCTTGGCTGTGGCCACAGCGCATTAGATGTTGCCACGTCGTGGCTCATGTGAATTTCAAATGTGCAACCGGCTGATATGCATGTGTCAGAAGAAGGAGCTGGAGTGGGAGAGGGAGAAAGAGGATCGGCAGGCGTGGAATCGGAATCGGAATTGGTGTGCTTGAAGCGCTGTCCAAGCTGTTGAGTTTTTATCAGCAGACATTTCTTTTATTTCACTGGCTGGCATCATAAACGAGGACAGCTCACAGCTCACAAGTAACGAGTAACATGTAGCAAGTGGCATGTGGCATGTAGCAAGCAGCAGCAACAGCAGCAACAACAACTGCCAGCTGGACAGTGCGCGGCAGAGCGAAAGCAAGAAACATGAACACAACCAAAAATTAACATAGACTAAAGACTGTGCGGCACGCCTACGAGCTTGCAACACGGCATACACACCCGCACATGCACACACTTATATAAATACACTTGGAGAAATCAATTGTAGGCAATTCGTAGGTTCAGGTAGTTTAGTGATGCTTAGAGCCTCGAAGTAAAGATTTGAGTCTTTACATTACAGAAGTTAGCTTAAGAACTTAAATAAAATTTATGAATTTCAAACAAAAATTACACACTACATTAGATTCTAAACTTCTAAGAGTGACGTTATTATATAGTGGAGTCATTGATTTACCATTGACTAGGCAGTAAATGTTTGTTCGCTATCGTCTGGTAACTAGGATCTCTGAAAGAGAGGAATAGAATTCAATTCATTCATTCCCAATGGCAAATACTCTTCTAGCAGAGTCTCAAAATTCATGAATTACTGCGATAGATAGAAAAATAGAAAAAATAATATAATAATAATATAAATATTTTGTTGGTTGGCAATGTGCCACTTCTCTATAATTTTACTTTTCAATATTAATTATTAGAAAAAAGAAATTAAAACTTTTCTAAGATATTCATACTCATATTTCACAGGTGAATTACTTTAAAAGTTTTCAAATTTAACTAAACAAATTATTTTCAAGTTTAATTCCGACTTAGAAGCATTTCCGCTGAGTGTAGCACATCTGTGCATGTTTATAGCAAACACATGAGCGCAGCCCCAAAGGACTTGTCTGCTAGGCAGCAGCAGGAGCAGCAGCAGCAGCAGGAGTTGTTGTGTGTTTATGTTGGTGTTGCTGTTGCTGCTGTTGCCGTGTAGCCGCAAACGTTTTGGCATGGGTATTTTAGTCAGAGAGTCAGAGAGAGAGAGAGAGAGAGAGAGTAGGGCTGCTGCTGGTAGCCAACGGACGCCATCAAGCGAATTAAAACCAAATCACTTACAAGCGGCCAAAAGTGTTAACGTGTAAATTTCCATTTTACCAAGATCGAAGCGCTCTGATAGCAGCAGACACCATAAACATGCAGTGGGCGTGGCTGGGGAGGCCAGCGAGGGGAGCAGGATGCGTATGTAAGCCTCTCCCACACACACACACACAGAGATGGAAAGAGAGCGAGTTAAATACGAGTTAAAAATAAAACTAGTGGAAATGGCGCAAGTCCGAAAGGGCCAAAGGTAAACGTGTCGAGTGTGTGTGTGTGTGTGTATGTATGTGCACATTTACATGCATAAATAAATGCAAGAACTGAGCGGACGGAAGACAGCGTAGGGCAACAACAACAACAACAACATATAGAAGCACACAACTTGGCGAGCAACTTCTTAACTCAATGAAATCTCCAGCAATTTCGTAAATTAACACTTCGAATTCAAGAGCGGGCAGCGTGCAGATTGGGGGCGTGGCAGCGCAAATACTCTTAGAGGTGCAGACATCGAGCTGTGAAAATGACAGAGAGCGTTAGGTAAACTATAGCCGAGTGTAAAAGAGATGCACAATTACACTGAACGAAAATAATGTGTTTTTTTAGTGAGAAAGAGAAACTATTTTTGTGTGTTAATGAAGTAAATCAATTAATTATTTAAGTAATTTGCGCATGCCCAAATGTTAATACAATTTAAATAAATTATGAAATAAATAAAAATAGTAATGACATTGGTGTAGAAGAAAGCCCAACTGCATTTTATGCATGTTTGAAAAGCTCTAACTAAAAGACTAAAAAAAAAATTTAAAATATACTTTTAGTT